CTATATCATAAAATCCAATGACCATTATTCACTTCTCAAGATCTATGCCTACACAACCACAAGTTCACAATGAGATTAAAAATCAAAAACAAAATTAAGATTAGGATTTAGGGCCAAAATTTAGCATGGCTTCGCCCTTCATCAAAAGAGGAGAGAAAGAGAGGGCTTGAGAAACCAAGCCACTCTTATAAAATTGAATAGTGGGTTGTGGAAGGGCGACCACATTTCCACCCTTGATCTCTAGGATCCTTAATGTAGATCTATGGCCTTCATTTATCTAAGAGCTAATTTCGTTACTGAGGCTAATAGCTCTTGTAAGTGGTCAAGAAAGCACCTTTTGGTAAATCTAAATTCACCATTGTGATGAAAACACCTTTTCATGCAATAATCGACTACTCACATGCCTCAATCCATGGTCAACTGCAATTTCTATGAAAGTTTCTACCTATAATGATCTTAGCAATTCTTGTAAAATCCTTCAAAATGAGAATTTCATTGCTCCACTTGTATTTTGAAGGAGAGGGTGCTGATCTTGTTTTCTTCACTCCATAGGGTGAATCAAATGCCACCATTTCATGAAAAAGGCTTCCATTAATTAAAAGAACCACTATGCCACTTGAATTTATTGAATTGGAGGAAATTTCAAAATTGTCATTAGTAAACTTCACTAAATCTTTTAAAAAATTATAATTCTAACTCATTCTAAATCATATGAAATAATTATAGGCAAACTCATAGGCTTTTAGTCAACATTCATAGTAATAACTAATAACCTCTAAATTATTAAAGCTAATTAAGTTGCTATTCTAATTTTTTAACTCTTATCATTTTGATCCTAATTAATCTAATTCAAAGAGTTAGGCTATAATTTATACCATCAAAGGTTGCAATCCTAAAAATTCTATAAAATTAAATTTTATTTATATAAATCCTAATCTAACATGCTCAATTATCATAAAATAGGAAAATAAAAAAAATTAATTTTTGGAGCATAATTGAGAGTTCATAGTCTATAAAGATCCATCTTGTATTTCATGTGTCTCTTTTTAAGCCATATGAGAGAGTAAATATCTTGGAAAGAAGACAAATACTATTGCCTTCTACAAAAGTATATAATAATCAAGGATTTGAGGTAGAAGACCTCTTAGACTCAAGATGGTGCCAAAATAGGTTGAAATATCTTGTTCATTGGCACAGATTTCATATTAATAAATGCACATTAAAAAAATCAAAGAATCTTGTAAATGTAGAAGAAGAAATTTAAATTTTTCATCAACAACACCCATTAAAATCGAGATAAAATATCAAATTATTTCCTGGTATAAAACAAATGATGTTCAATAGAGATTAAATTCTATCTTCCATCCTTCATTATAAGTTTTTATATTTTGTGACACTATCATGGAGAGAGAATTTGCCTTAAAAAAACACCAAGCTTTTGACTACTACTAATTGCTCTAGTATCTTATAACTTTAAAACATGCATAATACTTCATAAATAAGATTCTTTTATAAACTCACTTGCCTCTTATATCAAACAAATTTCCTTCATTAATAATTTCTAAAACAAAAATATAAAAAAATAAAACCTCCTAAGAGAATCTTTATATTTCTTTTCTAAAAAAATTATCAATCTTTCAAAATCCTCAATCCTATTTTAAATCCTAAATCTTAAACCCTACTCCTAAATCTTAAACCCTACTCCTAAATCTTAAACCCTACTTCTAAATTCTAAACCTTAAGTCCTACTTCTAAATCCTAAATCCTAAATTCTAATTTTTTTATTTTTTATTTTTTTTTTACTTTATATATTAAAAAAAATAAAAAATAAAAAAATAAATTGAATATTTTAGAGGATTGATGCCATTTCACTTCAAGCCACTACCAACTTGTAGCTTCTTCTTTTTAAGAGGAAGTTATATACCAATTTATCAAAAAGACAAATATATAAAAGACATAGGCATCACATATCATGTTAATATTAAGAGAGATTTTTTGTTCCCCTCCATAAGTAATAAGTGCCCTTATCTCCCAACATAATCCTTTGATGCAAGCATTGTGGGGCCAATCCTTTAAATATCTCCAATAAATTAATTGAGGATTTTTGGAGAATATTTTTTCTCCTTCTTTTTCATGTACTACCATAGAATTTTGGACTTAGAACCTCCTAAGTGCCACCAAGCACCTTATCATCCATCTACCTCCATAAACTCCAAGTCACCACTTGATATCCAAAGCCTCAATTCTTCTTTCTATATGCTTATTGCCAAACTTCTTCTCTTTCTTTAAATTTCCATTTCTAATAAATTATAATTTTTTTTATTAAAATTTTTATATCTATTTATCGACCTAATAAAAAATATATTAAATTTTATATTAAATAGATATTCTAATAATTAATTATTTTAAATAATATTTTTTTATACAAATTCAGTTTTTTATTTCTAACAATTATAACACTTCTTGTTAATAGGATTCATTCATATATATATATATATATATATATATATAATTATAAATATATCTTTATTAATATTTATTCTAATATAATAATTAATTAATTAATTCTATTTTTAATTTTTTTTACTCTAATAATTATTTAAATAATATGAATAGATAAAAATAGATAAAAATAAATTAATTTTATAATATCTTTTAAAAAAAAACTTTATAAAAGCTTTGTAGATGCAATTTCAGCTTTATACATGTCTATAGGTGATTAGTAGATTAGAAACTTATCCAACAAGTTAGCCATGTATCAGACGTATTGGTAGCTTATAGTACAAGCTAACAATGCAATACACATAGAAGAAACTTGCCTTGCAAGTTGAGATATGTCTTTCATAAATTAAATAAGTGTTGGTAATCTTATAGAATATCGCCATGTAGCTCTTAAGTAGAAAGTATATATAGAGACAAGAGTGAAGCTTTCTTCATTCTTATCAACTCCTTTCTAATTTCTAGTCTAGTTTCAAGGATCTGTAGTTTTTTTATTTTTTGGCAATAGCTATTTTAGTTTCTTTTTAATATATATATTTATTTATTTTATTTTTCATCTTTTTTTGAAAAAAGTCTCACTTATTTATTTGCCTTCATCAAGTTCTTGTCCTTGACATAGGAAGAGATGAAAAAAAAAGATTAGTTTTTTTATTATTCCTAATTTCATTCTACTTTTCTTCATCTTCTTTATAATTTGCTTCCACCTTATACTCTTTCAAGGAAAAGAAAGAAAAGGGAAGGCAAAAAATGGATGAGGAGGAACAGAAGGAAAGCAAAGAAAGATAGAAGGAGCTTCTTATTCTTTCTAATTCTTCTTCTTTTCTTCCTCTTTTTTTTTAATTCTTTTCTTTCTTGCACTATCTCAAGAAAAAGAAAAAAATATGTAGAAGAAAAGAAAAGAAAAGAAAAGAAATAGAAGGCAAGGAAAGAAGGAAGAAAATAGGAGCTTTTTACCTTTTTATTTTTATTTTTTTATCCTCTTTTTTCTCCTAATTCTTCTCTCTCTAGTATTCTTAAGAAAGGAAAGAAAAAGAAAGAAAGAAAAGAAAGAAAAAAATAATAATAATAATAAATAAAATAAATAAATAAAATAAATAAAGTAAAGAAATAAGTTTCTCTTCCTTTCTAATTTTTCATATTCTTTTATTCTTCCTTATCTCATTCTTTGTAATTCTTCTCTCTCTTACACTCTAACATGCACACGTTTGCCCATAGGAGTCTTCTTCCTTTATGAATGCTTCTTCCGAATCTTCATTTCTTCTCATCTTATATTTATACATTTTTGATATTCCTTCCTTCCTACTATTTTTCCTTTTAAGTCTTTTCTATTGTCTTTTAAGGTGTTTTGGCCTCCCATTTAGCAAATAAAAGATATGGCTCCAACTCCACTTACATCCTTTGAATATAGTTATTGTGGCTTGCAATCATACTTTTTTCTATTATAAGTTCCTTCTATTATTTTATCCAAATAAATGATAGAAAAAACCTATATATACATTTATTTCCTTATCCTTGTATAATACTACTTGAAATATAACAAGCCAAATAATAACTTCCTATCCAAAATAATAATAAAAGTATTGCTCTTTTTAGATTGAAGGATTTAATAGATTGGAATAAAATTTAAGTCAATTAAAATATGGATTAAAAAGACAATTTACATGTTAAATATATACACAAGTATTAAAACATATTGATACATGTAGATTGATTGTCAATTTATTTAAAAATACATACTTACATTGATAAATCCATTGAATATTAATACAACAATTCAAATATTTATATCTTAAATTCTAAAATAAGCATGGTAATTGAACTTATATTCAATTAAAGAATAGCAATATTAAAAAGTCTTGGTAAATAGAAACATTGACTAAACAAACATTTAGAAATTTAAAAAACATGAATAATATATGAATTAAAATGAATATAGAAATTCCATTTGAATCATTATATTTATCAAAATGTATATATATACCCACACTAGATGAACGTCTATAATTTTTTCTATTATTAATCACAAATACTTAAACAGCATTTACTAATTCTCATGAGTTGGAGCATCTTAGTTATGTGTAAATCCTTTCGTAACGTTTACTTGGCAAATTTTATTTATAAAAAATAAAAAGAAAAAGAAAAAGAAAAAACTCATTTTTAAAGCTACATTTTTTGAAAAACAGATAATATGATAATCACATCTGGAGTACAAAATTGATCTGACTTTTTAGCCAAATGAATTTGGCTCTGCACGTTTAACAATCTTTCATCTTCTTTACATGAACTTAAGAATGATTATCTAGACAGCATGAATTGAATACAGCACTAAATGATGTCAATATACTTTGTAACCTATTATAAAGACAACACAATTCATTTTAATTTTTATACCAATGTCCAATCCTGAGAATTAAATAAATATGGAAGTAAAATTCTGAATCTGTTCATTTTGAAGACTCCACCAATAATGTAGTCGATTTTTTGAACCATTTTTCTTCGAATTTTCAAATTTTCAAAAACTACAAAATTTATTCTTATTTTACAACAAAAAATAAAAACAAAAACACTTAACTGTTTGAGTCTCTCGTGGCACCTCTGAGTGCACTAAAAATTGATGGAGTCGCAACTGCTGATTTCTAAGGCATTCAGAATCAATTTCAAAAGAAGACTCCCGCTACATATGTTGCAAAGATGTGGCACTGCTAACTAGACTTGCTAACCACAGAGTATCACATCTCCAATACCACATCCACAAATTCACTCTCACCAATTTCGAATTAATGGGAAGGATTAGGAGAATGGATGAAATCTGAAAGGCAGTGAAGTAGATACACAAACAAAGAAACAACCAATCAACCAGCCTCTTTAGAGTTCATCGATCAGAAATACCGTCACGCTTGAGCTAGGTCTTCGGATGTGGGAAGTACACAAGTTGCGATCCTCTGCATATTTTTGATGCCTCAGACACTGACAATGCCCAAGTGCTCAACGTTGACATGGGGCAATCTCAAGCACGTACTCCCTTTGATAATAACAGTGCGTGAGTTCCAGTCGAAAAGGATTTTCAAAAGAATCATGCTGCAAAAGTAGAGATTCCGAACAACGAAAGCATTGACATTTCTCGGCGTCATCTGTTTGTTTGTTTGTTTGTTTGTTTTTTTCACTTCGACTTGCGAGACTCGTTCTCATACGTATCCAGCAAACTCTCAACGTCGTCCCAAAAGATGTCCTCGGCCAGAACTCCATCCTTTGTAAACCTGAGTAGGTACACAACTAGAATTGTAAGTAACCTGTAGCAAAATAAGAAAAACCATCCATTGGTACATCAGTACCAGAACATCAGAGCATGCAAGAAGTGTATTGAATACAAAATCTCCGACAGTCTACTCGGTATTAAAGATTTGATCCCCAGTCCCATAGAAATCCTGCTTCATCCTAAAACATAGGATGTAGTGTAAAGAAACAGGGTTTGTGCAGTAAACCTGGACAATGTGTCATGATAGTACTGACTACAAAAACCTTAACTACTACCCACTTGTTACCCTTGAGAAATATATATATATATATATATAAGTACAGAGACGGAGAAAAATCACCAGGACAACCTGAAAAAAAAACAAAAACAAAAACAAAAACAAAAAAAAAAAAAAAAAAAAAAAAAAAAGGAAACTTACCACTTGGTTACACTCTTCGTAAGCTCTACAGGAGGGAGAGCCAAAATGTGTTGAGAATCTGCACTTTCTATCCGTAGCGTGTACATGTCCGAAGACCTGGGTAATTTTGAGGAAATCGCCAATCCTGTACCACTAAATGACCCCTGCAATGCCCATATGTAAATCAGTGGTTGCGGGGGACATACACAGGATTCAAAGAGATGCATCAGCTACTCGGATGGTCACATACTGGGCGAGGGAAAAGGGGGTCACGATACAAACTGCAAATCCGTTCAACTCGCTGATATCAAAAAAGTACAAAACATTTTCATAAAAATTAGTCTCTAGAACTCTGATGGTTTCTGATCGGCCATTCCTCTTCTTGTTAATGCTCCATACAAGATTCATCATAACCAACTTTTTCCAGTAGAAGCACGATAAACAGCAATTTCAGAAACAAACACGCCATGAAGTAGAGATTAGGAGACATACCGGGAAAGGATGGGTGAACAGAATATACTGTTTCTCTTTGGTTAAATTGACATATTGTAGGATGACATTAAAAATCACATACTTGCCATAGTCAAGGATGATTCCATTTCAAGAATATAGAACTCCACAACACGATAAGGCATTTTGATTCGTCCCAACAGTTTAATCAAAACTTATCAAACACTGATAAGTGAGAGGAGGATATAAGATGATGCATCCAATTAAAAAGGTCTTATTCTCGGGAAACTTCTTGGGGTAAAATTGAGCAGCTAAGGCAATGGCGCACGTGATCACGCCTATCGACATCTTCAGATTGCTCAACTTCACATTTTCAACGTAGCCTCGCTCGAGTACAACCTGAAAATCCATGATGCACCCGACTCGCAATTAGACACCGCAAAGTCTAATAAGAATGCTACATGACCCTAACCAATTGCCAGAGCTGCGTGTTCGACGATGGTGCGGAGTGAATTGACCCCAAGGATACATTGAAGAGATCTCATCCAACTACCCTGTTGATCACCGCAATTCGCCCAAAGAGATGCTGTCCTTAGAGCACGAACATAACCAAACTTTCAAAATAAACACGCACATTCCTCCACCTGGATATATTGCCAGTGACGGCAACTGGACTATGAAGCAATTGCTCTAAACTCTGGTGGCCACACTCAAATGACTTCCAAGTGAGCGTTCAACACGCACACAACTAAAATTAGGAACGTGCATGAAATAGAGTCACAGGCAGCTAAACGCTACAGGATTGTAAGACTTAAACTAGGTAGACAATACGTCCGGACATCTGTAGATTAATACGGAAATTGATTAAAGTCTAATTGTAGAGACAACAAATCTCTTAATTCACAACACAATAGTCCCACGTGACGAAATACTAGCATTTAAATGCAAGGCACTCTACAGTGGTGGAAACTTAACGGGAATCCAACAAGCTGCTCCGATCCAGAGTCTCGGAACGAGAAGGAACGGAACATTCACAACGAGAGTTATCAAAGGAAAGGGGGGAGGAACCTCGGACGTAGTGTCGTCGAGAACGCGCTTCAAGCTGAAAGGATCGAGCAGGTTGGCTGCCTTCTTCGGCGGAGGTATGGCACTGGCGAGAACGGCCGCTGCATCTCTGGGAGAAAGGGCCGCCATCGCCAGCTATAAATCAATCAGGCAAATGCAGACAACCCCACCGACGTGAATGCAAGCCCTTGCTCGGCACAACCCAGCTGCGTGTTGGGGCCTGGGGGGAGGTGGCTGTGCTTCCGATTAGGGCTGCGACCCATTTGCAGACCCTCTCTCTCACTGCATGTTTGTTTGTTTTCATGTGATGCTCCGTGCTTTGCTTTGCATTGCGTATCATATGATTTTCTACACTACCATTCTGCGGTTCTCAATGTTAATACTCGTGATGGTCTTCCTCATTTCTGATTAAAGTTGTCTGTTGCTCTCGATTTCACTACTCGATAAAGGTTTGTGTGTATGTACATGTGTCTGAGGATAATACGTTTATAGATTTTTGGAGTAAAGGGTCATTTAAATTTAAAATATGTTCCATAGTACTTCAACTTGAATGAATTGGCATTCTTGTCACTACCGATTCATTATGCGTGTGGTTGAAAAATTATTGAAAGTGCATACCTTGCAAAACCTACTAAAATGTTGGGTGAATAGGAAAAACATCTCTGGAAATGGACAAAAGAGAAAAGAGGGGGTGAAGGAGTAGGGAGAAAAGAAGAAAGAAGACAAAGCGTGTTGGCAGCTGAATAGGCGTCAACAGGAACAAATATGCGGAAGTGAGCATAATCAAGACGTTTTCCATAAGGGCTGTCATGAGACCAAGACATCCAGTCACCTGTATACAATTTTCTACTCCGATACGACCTGGAAAGTGCTCCTTCAACCAACACGATTTACTGTGATGCATGAAAGAAATAATTGCTGCGTCATGGAAACAGGGCTTCCGTAATGCATCTTGTACACAAAAGCACTGAGAACCATTGCACACTCCTGACCAGTGGCAAACCCAGAACCTCCAGTCAACTAATATGCCAAAAGATGCGGTGTAAACAGAACGAGAAGACTCGGCCGAGTGCTCCTCATATAGCATTCATGGTAAAGAACAAGGCAACTTGTCACCAGATCCGCAGCAATTAATGTGTTAATTTCTTTCTGGCAACCATCCATGATTCGTCAGATTCATTTCAAGACCTTGAATCTATAGCCTTTTCTCAGTTTAGAAGCACTGGACAAGAGAAATCCGGACGGACAGGATTGCATTAATACCCTAGAAAGACTGAAGGGCCTAGATCTGTGATAGAACGGCCTTGGTTAATCAGCGTATTTTACACAAATGCTGCCTTGAGAGTAGAAGCTGGCGCCAAATCGTAAGAGAAAGTGCATCCCATGGACTTCACTTAAACCTCATTCTCGTAATGCAGGGACAATGCATTTGGGCCATCCGCCAGCTGTAATATCACTTCCCAGTTTCTTCACACAACCCAGTTCGCATCAGAAGCTTAATGAGCCAAGCTCTCCTCTTGAAAACTTGCACTAGTCCAAGCTTCCAGGAATCTCCTAGGTAGGAGGCAGCAGGCTCTCGAGCCAATGTTAATCTTAAGGCAATCAAGTAAAGAAGATTGACCTTATGGCGTGGATAGGTATGAGGAAGATGCATTCAAAGTACCATTCAAGGATTCAGCTTTGAACAGTCTTTGTCTTTCATTCTCCAGCTGGATCAGATGAGTGCGCAAACTACGCTCCTCTACCTGCTTATCCATCAATCCACAAGAATCAAACTGATTAAAACTTATCTACTAAAAAACATGACAGTATGACGATTGGAAACTGTTTCCTTTCAAGTGAAATACTACATAAAATTTTCCATGCCAATCAAGGACTGACTCCAAAGCCTCAATAGTCGTTCCGACGCAAACACTGAACTTGCTGATAATACAGGTCACATCTTGATCATGTCCAAAATTGATGGGTAATTGCACTTGTTGCTTACTTCTAAAGCAGCGGCTACAGACAAGAGGTCTCCACACTCCTCTAACAAAGCTCTCTCTTGTGCTGCTGTCTCTGCCAACTGTGATAAAAGCGCTTCCATACTGTCTGTCTGCACGGTGAAAAATGATTGTCAAGAAAAAGCGTAGCCAAATTCCCACAACCTTCGAAAAGATGTGTGTAAAAATTCTGCAATCAATCCATCCAACCAAATGCAATGCATACACATCTTCTTGCAAATAATTCTAGTGATTCTCTTGAGAACAAACTCACTTTGGGTAGAAGGAAATGTACAGATGCTTCAACTGCATTTAGTACATCTACCGCTGAGTTAAGAGCTTCCTTAACAGCTTGCACATCAGCCTGCATGCAATTTCAGAGCAGGAACATCAGAGATAGTGATTAAGGAATTCACGACCACATTCTACTACGGTGATAAACAGATCGAAGTAATAAAAATTTGTAACTCTTAAGTTGTAAAAGAAGAATATACATGAACACAGCTGCTGCGTTTACTCTAAATATAGGTTCATCTTACTACGAAACTGGTAGAGAAACCCAAATATTAGAGGCACTCCTGTGCTAAGTGCGAGATTAAAAAATGGCGTTTTATGACTTTTAACTTCAACAGTTGTACACATTTGCATCACCCTCAAGATTACCGTGAGCTAAATGTTGGGAGCGAGTACTAACAGTGTAGACTAAGGCCACTGCGTCGCACATTGAAGAGAGATTCAGGACAATCATGTCATAATTTGACGATGGATCTATTTGATTAAAATTAAAATTAAGATTAAAAAAAATAAAAAATAAAATACTGGACAGCTCACTTACTCGAGCACCTCCTGTTACTGGGACTCTCAAAATTGCCGATTCCAAAGCTTCCATGCATCCCGTCAATGCATTCGAGTGCTCCTCCTCTAATGTTTCCCAATCTTCTAAATGGGTTGCCTGCGAGAAATAGTAAACCTCGTAAACTTTCGGCAACGATGGAGATTGATAAGCTCATATTATGAGAAAAAAGCAAGAGAAGCTCACCCAAAGGATCGTACAAGCCGATTACGATCATCAACTCATCAAATGTCCATTGTTCAGGGAACGTTCCAAACCACACCGATAGTAGATTGTGCTTTAGCAGAAATAAACAGGCATTGCTTACATGAGTAGACAGAATAGAGCGGAGCTTGTGAGCTTGGCGTGCTTGCTGGAGTTTAATCCGCTGCATAGCTACTGACGTGCGCAACTCCGATGTTTTCAACCACACATTGTATAGCTGCCTCTGGAAACTCCAAAACAGATCCCGACATGCATATAAGTTGCAAGTACAGGATTCGCCTAGTCAGAGAGAGAGAGAGAGAGAGAGAGAGAGAGAGAGAGAGAAGGAGAGAGAGAGAGCACAATTCCGGAACGAATCCACGTATGTAGGAAATACAGGGATCTATCAATATTGAGTGAGTGGTAAGAGTAGTGGTTCAAATCGGCCCATACGAGTAAGAACACTTAAGTGCCCAAGAGTTGGACATGGTAGTAAGTTACTTTTCCAACCTGACGTGAGCGTATAGAGCTCTTCTACGTTCTTTCCATCAAAATAAGTAGAAGAGTCCAAACCAGGAAGCTTGGCAGCAATAACAAGCTAAAGGAGCGCTAAAAATATGCTCAGCAAGAGTGGCATCTGACAGCAAAGACGGAACCCGACTGATAGGGAAGGCTCAGTTTTAAACTGTTTATATACAAAACTTATTCTGTAGGTATTGTTCAAACGTTTTCAGCAACTATTTCCATCAACAGAGATTCCAATAGAATTATGTACCTCTGCAGCTGCCTTTTGAGCACTCATAACTGCTTCAGCTCGTGCATTTACGAACCGCCATTGTAGCCAGCGATTGTGCAGGATCCTCAGGAGTTGAGCTTCTTCCTGCTGTGTTAATGTTTTCTTTCCTCTGCTTCGACCATCGATTCCAAAACTCAGTGTAGTACCAGCGAAATTTCGAGCGGTGCCTGCTAGTGCCGCCGCAGATCCATGGACGGGCCGTGACCTCTGTGGGCTGGGCAATCCCCTCAATGGTGACGTGCCCTTCGAATGCGAGGGTGAAGATGGTGGATGTGGTGTTGATGGGGCTGAATTGCCTGACGCCCGACCAGGAGAGAGTGCCCAGGCAGACGTCGTGCTCCCATTCATGCTCTGATTCATGAGCATACTTGCAGCAGGTTGGTAGGGCAATACTTTGGTGCGTCTAACTGTCTTGACAGGAGCTATAGCGACTGCAGGAAGATCAACGTCTGATGACCGACTTCGATCCCCTTCAGAAAAGCGCCGTATTCTACCATTCATGTCCTGCCACACGCGAGCAGGTACTGTTGTTCCCCTTCCAGCCCGACTCCCAGGTATAGAGCCACCTGAGGACACGCTCTCAGTGTCCGACATATTCTCCTGGGGTGTAGAGAGAGAATCCACAGTTGCAACTGATTCCTGTGAAAGCCGCCGGGCATGAGTGGCGTGTTCTCCTGGACCTGTTGCATTACTACTGGGATGGGCACCATTACCATTAGTACTAGGTCCAGGCTCCCGGGCTGCATTCTCCGTCGTCCCTGTTCTACCTCTAGTAGGAGTGGGATTGCGCCTTGACAAGGTTTGACCAGGTGTTGCAACAGGGGCTTCATTCACAGATCGATTGAAACTCCTAGAGGGAGTAGCTTTTATACGAGACGAAGGGGTTCCGGGGCGACTCTGTGCCGTCATTGTTGAAGATCGCGCAAGAGGGCGTTCCCTATCTACATTGAGATCCATGCTCCTAGTCATGGTTCCACCAGACACCTTCCCTGTGCTCATGCCAGGCCATCTCTGCTGGTCTGGCTTCGAATGAGAGTTTTCTGTAGGTCGCGTTGTCTCAGCCTGATCAATGCTCTGACGCCGCATAGGAGAGCCTTTTCGAGAAGGAGATCCTAAGACATGTCCATTCCCATTTCCATTTCCTGCAGAGTTTAGGGCAGGCTTAGGGATTTTACTCGGTGCCTCTTTCTCCGTTCCCCCCTCCGACAGGCAGTCACTCACATTGTCATCGTTGGAGTCTGCACTCTGCTTAGCTGCAGACATGGAAGGCCACAATTCAGGGCCTCTAGTCTGCGGCCGAACCTTAGTGCTCGACGCCAACCCGTCCGTAGTAGAGCTCGTCGGGGTCGATTTGCTCTCCGACGACGGAGTGACAGCGGGCCATGGGCGTCTCCTCTCCGTCGAGTAGGAGCGTTTCAGGACCTCCGGCGCATTGATACTACGTCCCAAGGTTGGGGACGGATGACGAACAAGGCTCTCAGAAGCTCCTTTGATGCTAGAGCTGGAACTAGTGCTACGATTTCTAACGGGAGAGGGCTGGCGAGAAGAAGATGCCGGGGACGGTTGCCTAGCAGGGGAAGGATTGCGGCTAAGAGGTGACGGATTGCGACTGAGAGGTGAAGGATTGCGACGACTCCCTGCAGGTGCCACTGGAGGAGAAGGAGCAGTAATGGCACTCTTGTACCTAGACGTGATCTCCATAGTTCGTGTTTTACGGACCACTTTGACCTTCTCCGCCGGAGGAAGGCCTCCATAATTCTGTACATTACCTACTTCCTTTTTCTTCTCCGTCTGTGTCTCCTGCACATTACCTGCAGGAGTTGGGGAGGAGGAAGGCGCCACCGCGGCGACCATGATCTTATATCAGCCTGTTCTCTCCCTTTCCCTGGTGCACATATACAGCCTCCTCTTATTCACATCACGAGTGAACTTCCCTGGCTGCTTCACATCTGCAGTCGCATCACCAGCTCTACCGACGAGCACCGCCTCCAAACTCAATGACCTGTCCCACATCAATGCAACGCAAACAATCGCGAACCCCTAATCGTACCTTCCACAGAAACTCCTCAGTTCATCCTGCCCGCTCTTCAGGCCACTCCAGCAGCACTCTTCTTCTGGCCCTGTCCCTGCGCACCTCATCTCCCTCCACAATGCATCATCATCCTCCTCTTCCTCTCCATTCAATCCGCATTCGCATCAATCACCTCTCTTGCGGTCTCTTCCGCGCGCATCATCATCACCTCCTTATCAGATAGTCCCTTCTCTCGCTCTCTCACTCTGTCCAGCATCGAATAAACCTAACGGTCTAAAAACAATCGAAAGAAACACCTCGAGACCTGAACGCGCCACTTGTTGCGTACGAGCTGATGTCCTCACACTCTCCTCCCACTCCCCCCTTCCACCCACCCTAACCCGAAAATAAATAACCAAATCGAAATGAAAAAAATGATAATTATACCTCCAAGACCTGAAATGAAGCACGCAGAAATCCTGCAATGAAACCTAATGCGACGAAAACGAAGTAATGGGAGCAGTGAAATGCACGAGATCGAGCAGAGCTAGGGAGCGCGCAATGCAGGCAGGCAACCTCGACCGACCCCTGAGCGAGCGAGCGAGCGAGCGTGCGAGGAGGAATGGCCGGGGTCGAGCTGGAAACGCCTCAGAAGGGCCGCTGCCACGGATTGCCCCCCCCCTTTTGCCACTCAGATCTTCGCTTCCCGCAACCCACAATATATTTTACTCCTACTACAACTCTAACCATCAGAATAATAATAATTGTAATAATATTAATGGTCATACTAATAATTATTATATTAATAACAGTTCTGATCATGAAATATCGAAATCAAAGTTCACCGAATGACCATGAAATCTACTAGAAGTTCAAGACTTAGGGTCAGGTTGCACCGGTTGAGGACTCCAATACAATATGTATGCAGGGCGTAGAGAGCAAGGAAACATTGCATGGTGTCATCTTCCTTTTAAAGCTAATATTAGCGACATGAACATGAGGTAGGGGGGGCACTTTGGGCAAGACTTGAGAACTTCGTTCTCAATGATGGATGTGACCCATTGGCGTAACAGATGATATCGGGCGATTCGCGTGGCAATTTGTGGATGAAATTATAGTGCTTTCATCTAGTATAAGCCTAGGATGGATGAATCCTAGAGCTTCACTCACTAGGATGGATTAGTGAATGTGACAGCCTTTAAGCAGTAAACGGGTTTAGAGCCTTGGCCATTAATGGGATCCATAAAACATCGATGGCATTTTAGGAGAAAGATCCATCGAATAATGTAATTCGGTAAAAGATTACTACGTCAAAAAATATTTTGATTCATTACTCTATTTATTTTACTATCTATTGATTGTTGTATTGTCCACATTCACTGCATTTCGATCACATGATTCATTTGTTAACCATATGAATATTAATGATCGAAGTAAAAAAAAAAAAAAAAAAAAAAAAAAAACCATGAGAAACAGAATTAATAGCACAATTCTGTTGTTGAAACAACTGCAAAAATGTGGACTTCAGCTTTGTTCTTTCACGATTGCATTTACGTTTGCAAACAAGGTACTTAGCTTGCTGTGATGGTAGATCAAATTTATTGAATGTGTGTGTTGTGAAACTACACGAAACAACTGAAAAAAAACAAAACATGAAACACTCAAGGAAGATGGGCATGCGTTTACAACACCGTGCTGGAATTTTTTTGTTTACAACTTTTTTTATTTTTTAAATAACAATATTCGAACCAAGTTTCAAACTTTCATAATACTGAACACACAATCAAGTTACATGCATTTATCATATTTTGCAGCTTTGTTCCAATTTACGTCAAATGTTACAAATCATCCACCATACATTACTCATCAAAAATAAAATTATACTATTGTGCTGTTCATAAACATGTTACGATAAACTCTTGTTAAAGTTGACATTTTGTTTGAAAATGTACTCAGTACACATTTTGTACTGGTTTTAGTTTCTTAATTTTCTAAGGCAGGCTTTATCATTTGCATATCATTCACATGGAATCTTTTTTCTTTTTTCTTCACTTCGATTTTAATCTCGTTTGCACTTCGTGCAGGTGGTTATGTATTCTTTTTTGGGGGTACAATCTTTGATTGAGAATCTATGTGTTGTAAGTTTTATAAATGTTGATCAGTATTTGGTGTGATATTTCAATTGCTGCATGTTATTGAATCTTTGTAACTTTATTTCAATCAATGAAGCTAATTGGGTCACACAGTAAACTCTCACAAACACAATATATTCCCAAGTCTGTATTATACCAACTCCGTATATCAGTTGTATCAACGAGTAAACTTTAGGGATCTTCAAATGCATTTTTAAATATAAGTATAAGATTGCAAAAAAAAATTAATCTCTTTCATCCTTTAATTTTTTTATCATGCATAAATGACTCAACAGATGCAAGTAAACTTATCATGAATAATGGTCACAAATATTTTAAAGAAATTAATGCGACGTGTCTTCAACATATAAATAACATTTTAAAAATACACCAATTGAAAATTTCATTTTTGGGACCAGTGATACATATGTTAAGTAGGAAAAAGAAGTTGGGATTTTCTGAACAGTTTGAAATTCTACCAAATTGCACACAAAGGCAAAACATGAGTGTTGTTATTGAACTGAATGTGTTGTGACAATGGGAGGAGTACAAATTCGTCTTTTTACATCTCACAACGATAAATTAAAAGAACTGACTGACAACTCTGTTTTGGTGTGTGTCAGATTTCAATTTTATAGCCAACCACATTCAATGTTTTTGAACATTTACTGATGAATATGTTACCATGTGTTTGTATCTCCAATGAATGTTCATTGAAAGGTATAGCTGTAAAATTTGCCCATCTGAGATATAGTTACATATCATTCGAAAACATTTACTTCCATTAATAACAATACCAGTATCATTAATTATTTTCATGAAAGTGAGAATATTTAAGAAAACAACAAGGATTCCGTATAACAATATTGATGAATAACGTTTGAAAAGAAAAGAAAAGAAAAGAACAAATGCGTCATACATTATGAATATCTTTAAGTTGATTAAGTTGTTCGAGGCCCTTAATAGGATTAATATTCAAATTTATAAAATGCAGTGTTGGAGAACGTGGAACCACGTGTGCCAATTATTTGTCCACATTGAAATCCGGATATCACCTCCTAGTTTGAGGTCTGGCTCAATGATTGATACTGTGCTTTTGAGATCTATACCCGCTTCTCTTTGCCCCCCCCTCTTTACAACCTCTGCATGCGCCTGTACCCAGGTCTCAATGCAGACCCGATACCCTGTCAGTTTGCAAACTTATACCCGGGTCATTGATATAATACCCAGTGTACCACGAAACTTTCAACGTTCTAAAAAAGTACTTGAAAAAAGTGAACTGAAATCTGAATCAATGACGGTAATATTTCCTTACTCTCCAGCATTTGTTGGTAGATGGTGTTGTTTGATTTGCGTTGCAACGAAATGGCGGGTCGTCGATCATGCACTGCGGATTTTAACACACACACACATATATATAGATAGATAGATAGATTGGGAGAGAGAGAGAGAGAGAGAGAGAGAGATTCAAATTATTTTTCATTGCTTTCCAGGGAAGAATAGTGGCTAGAATCGGTCATCAGGTTTAGTTTTGAGCCATGTCTGTGTGCTGAGGCTTTCGTAGAGTTTATAATGCCAGCAGTTCTTTTGTCAACCGTGATGAGATGCTTTTTGGCTACCTGTGTTGGACAAATGATGACCGCAAAAATTGTTTGCACTGTTTTCTATGCGTGCAATTGCACCGAATTTAAGGTCAGGGTCTGCTTTGAGGAACATAAATTGAAGGACACGTCCCTGGTCAGAATGTTGCGGCGTGTGGTCACTCCAGTCGAAAACCAAAACAATGCATTGAGGAGTGCCAAATGGTAGGTCGTTCGTCTGCCTCTTCTGGACATTTTTATTGCGTCGATATGCACAAACTCCGCAAGTGCTGAAGTCCCCTATCTGTGCATGGACCTCGGGGCACTGGATCACGTACTGTCATTAAATGTCTATTGCACCGCCAATTAGACAATCTGGAAGTTTTTACAAGTTTATGGCTAGAGATTTTTTACTTGCGGCAGATGTTTGCCTAAATTGACTTCGTCATGAAAATCACAATTTTATTCCTTCTATCAACCTATGTGACTCGCAGTCTCTATCTCATGAAGGTGCACTTATTTTATTTATTTTGTATTTTATATTTTTATTTTCTCTTTGTTTGATGTGTTCCGATGTATGATTGGACGCCAAATGAGGTCGGGCTTCATTTAGTCCCTGATGCGTTAAGCGGGGATGAGTTCCATGTGTACACATGTCAATCCTCGTGTTTACCCACTTTTGTGTTAACGCATCTAAAGTAAATCTACTAGTGTGTTTGTCAAGAGGTTGCAGGCAGATAGTATCTTCCTCACAATTTGAGGGTCGCGTCGTGTTCGATCCCCGATCAGTTGCATAGGAATGAGCATGAATGTGGATTTTAATCGACGTGTATTCCAAAGGGCAGTCGGTGTTGCAACCTTCGGATTCAACCCACGACATTCTGTGGAACGGCTGCATCTTCGGCACAGCACGACTCGTTCTCAGCATACAAATTCACTAACAGACGAGGTGATTGCAATGCAGAATTATATGCATAACCAGGATTTCGCTGTAGTATTGTGATGTAGCCACATCAATGCATCTCGAAGATCTGTTTATTGACAATTAGCTTGCTTAATTCAGTTCTGGCGTGTGTGAGGTTTTGAAGGTTTGGACCTTGAGTCTGACATCGGCCTTTTCTCTGCCTACTTTTTAATACATATATGTTTTCACTGGTTTATAAACATTACAAATAAAATGCATGGACTTTACATCTAGGATTCTTAGAAACATACATTCGAAACTTTTAGATAAAAGTATGGACATTTCTCCAAAATTTTATGGTTACATAGTAAAGGTAATGAAATAATCTGTAATAATTCTACTTCTGGTTTACAGTGGTGATAAGAATGGAAAAGAAGTTTTCATGTCTACTTTTGAATAGAAGATATTGTCACTATTGTAGATATTTCCAATTAAATTTGTAATTTTTTAATATTATAAACATTCTATTTGTATTCCAAGATTTATGTTGTTTCTTATGTTTATTATAAATAATTGATTGAGGAGTTATACAATCCAATCATTTATTGATTTATAGTTCAAAGAAATACTTGAGTAAAATTATATAATCAAGATAAACAAAGGCATAATATAAAATTATTAATAGAAATTCATTAATATTGCAAAATCAATATTACATAATCAAATTATCTAAAACAAGTAAAAAATGGCACTGAAAAGATCAATACTAGGTAGTTGGCTTCTGTTATGGGCTTTGTAAGTGCTTTAAACAGAAAACACTACTTCAAAGAATCTGTTCAAGCCATGAGTACAATAAATAGAAAATTCTACGAATGATTATTACATTATCCTTTATTATATATGATTATTATTATTTTCTATAATTTTTTAAATAATTTTTAAAATTTTTGGTTTTTTCTTTTGAAAATTTCCAAATTTAGTTTTTTAAATTTTTTTCTTCTTTAAATTACAAATTCTATGAAATTGTAAACAAAATGATATACCTACAACTCAGAAGAGAACAATGTTCAAAGTTGAAAGTACTATGATATCCACATAAAAATCTCAGATTAGAAATAAATGCATACCACACTAACTAATACACTATTTGCACAATAATAATATATTGGCTACCAATTATTTCTTCAAGAAGTTTTTGTGAAAGAAGTAGGGAGGAACAGGTGGTACGCATCCACTATACGATCTAACCATACAAATACATACATACCACACGCATTCGTACACCAACCAGTATGTACAATAAATGACTAGTATGGATACATCACGACATGGTATTAATATACATACTGTTGCATAGTTATATACTATTACCAATACGTACATACGACGAGGGAGAGAGAGAGAGGAATTAGGGCATGTTTCGTCTTCTTCTTCTCTCATTTCATCTTATTATTATTATTATTATTATTGTTGTTGTTGTTGTTGTGTTTCACCGTCTTCGTCCTCGCAGTTTGGGTTGTAGCGAGGCGACGTGGGGCGTGGAATTGGGGTTGCAGGGAGAGCGCACTCGACATGAGTCGTGGCTCGGGAGCCGGCTACGACCGGCACATTACCATCTTCTCGCCCGAAGGCCGTCTCTACCAAGTCGGTGAGTGTGCAACAACATCATCTGAGTGAGCTGGGCCCGAGGCATCCTTCCGATCGGTCGATGCATCGGGTGGTGTTTTTGTGGAGGTGTTTGGTGACTCTCATCAGGCACTTTCGAATGAACGCCTGGCCGAGTGTTGATTTTCGGATTCTTGATTATGTCGATGACTGTGTTTTGTTTGACTGGGTGTTTTGATTGCTTGATTGATTGCTGTTGTTTTTGTTGGTGTTTTTCTTTTTCTTTTTCTTTTGTAGAGTATGCGTTTAAGGCCGTGAAGGCAGCTGGAATTACTTCCATTGGTGTTCGCGGGAAAGATTCGGTATGCTTCGTGACGCAGAAGAAAGTGCCGGTGAGTTGATTGCTCCGGTGGGTGGTGAATAGGGTTTTGAGTGCATGGTTCGTGAGAGCGATTTTCAGTTGTTGGTTTTGCTTTTTCCTCGGACTTGGTTTATTGTCGTACGTTGAACGATCCCGTGAATGATATGCTTTGCAGGATAAATTGCTTGATCAGACCAGTGTTACGCATCTTTTTGCTGTCACCAAGTTCATTGGTCTTCTTGCTACTGGCATGACTGGTGGGTCACGCTCTTACTTTGAAGCATTTTAATCTTGATAAGCATGACAAGCAGAGCAGAATGCTTTGCATTGTGTGCGAAACCCGCGGTTTGAGCTGATGATTCGATTACTGCGTCCAGATGTGTGTTCTAATTTTTATAACTTTTTGGGGATTTCTGGGGTTGGAACATGCAGCTGACGCGAAATCGTTGATAGCGCATGCTCGAAATGAGGCAGCTAATTTCAAGTTCGATTTGGGTTATGAGATACCCGTTGACTATTTGGCTAAGAGGTGAGTTTTGACTTCCGGAGCTCAGAACTTAATAAGTATGCACTCGTTTTCAGTTTGTACAGCGAGTGTACAGGTAGGATCGAGCTGGATGCCTCGTGAACTTAAAAACAGGTGAGGCAGATAATGTAGAGAGTTCCTTTGAGGTTCGAGATGCAGAGATGATCAATAGCTTGATAATTTTGCCTGATTCTCAAATTACATGGGCTCCAGAGTCTTTACTGAAATGGTTTGTGAATTACCCGGAGTGTCACTTTTGCACATATTTTCTTTGTGATATTGCACATCTACGGGGAGTGTAGTTGTGTCGACTCAGGTTTATGCTATATTTTCCTGTTTTCTCGATTTTGGCATGTTTTTCATGAATCGAGTGGCGATCTTATTCCGATTGGAGGTTCTCAATCCTTGTCCGACCGCTGAAATTTTCCTGTATAAATTTGCCTTCCCTTTCGAGTATACATCCTATAGTAATGTGGAGCTGGTCGATGTGTATGGAAACAGGATTGCTGATAAGTCACAAGTCTACACCCAGCATGCGTACATGCGGCCGCTTGGTGTCTGTGAGCACATACCTCCCTTCCCTAGTGTCATCACTTCATCTTTTATTACATGATGCTTTAGCACATGGAGAACATTAACGCTAGTTCGATACCCTGGAAAGATTTGTGTAGGAGGCTGGTGTGACTCTAAAAACGGAAGGGTTTGAGAGAGTTCGGATCATCAAGATTCAAGTGTTCTCAAAGTCGTTACAGTACAGTGATGTGTTTTTAGTTGAAGTGGGATACGTCATAGTGTTTATATTCCTTGATGCACACAAAAAATCATGAGCATCAAGTATTGACTTGATATCGACTCAAGTGTTCTTTAAATGACTCATAACGTGGATTCCCTATGCTAGGTTTAAGATAACTAGGTCGATTTATCTTCATTGTGTTCTTGAAAACAGCGTGCCAAACCCAGTCGAGTGGAGTTGCGTATTGGATTGTTTACCATGCTACTAGAGCATTGTAGCACGCTTACACCTATTACTGGTGACCGATTGTTCTCTTTTCTTGGTTCTTTGCAGCTGCTATGCTTATTGGCATTGATGATGAACAAGGTCCACAATTATATAAGTGTGACCCAGCTGGTCACTACTTCGGATACAAGGTGTGTATATTGTTGATCATACTACCGTTACCTCCTTCATTTTTAAAGCAAAGATCAGCTTCGAAGTGCTTGAACCAACTATATCAACCTCATTTGATTTCTTATCAGTTTCTGTATGCAGTTGCTCATTAAGTTATTCGTTTTTCATTTACTTTCATTTCGCCGATGGCTGTTGCCTGTAATTCTCGTGGATCTGTTAATAGCCATTCACTTTTACCTTGAGCTTCACAGAGAGGGTCCAATTAGTGTGTTTGGCCTTAACGTCACTTGGTTTCACGGAGTGCAGGCAACCAGCTCTGGTTCCAAGGAGCAAGAAGCGGTGAATTTTCTGGAAAAGAAGATCAAGAACAATCCACAACTTTCTTATGATGAGACTGTACAAGTGCGTTGCAAGCTATCACCATCGTATTCCGTGCTTTCAGTATTTGACTTTGTGGATTTGTGGCAAATTTAACGTACGTGGGTTATCTGATGTTATTGCTTGTTTTTGAGTGACTGAACAGACTGCAATTTCAGCTTTGCAATCAATTCTTTTGGAGGACTTCAAACCTACCGAGATAGAGGTGGGTCTTTCTTCGTCTTCTTGTGGTAAAGGTTGGATTTGATCTACAGATATCCTTCGATAACATCACTCAAGAAAGTAAAAAACAGATGTTCTCATAGTGGTATATAATGTTCTCAAGCCTAAAAATCATTTGCTGTTAACCTTTTTATTTTGGTTTTATTTTGTTTTTCACATTTATACAACTAGATTAACTCTATAAGTGCACGCCACGTATTACAAAGGATTTTATAACAACTTAAAATTTAGATATATTGAATGCTTCCAGATGTACTATTTTGAAGGCTTGCATTGAAGCCGAAGTAGATTTTGGAGATTGCTGGGAATGAATGTTTTCACTAGTCAACCAATGGATCTATTATTGAAGTTACGGCTGCTGAAATCGCCTGTCAATATTCTCCCAGTAGTTCAGCTTTTGAATGATTTTGGTAGCGGCTCGATACTGTCTGAATTTCAATGCCAGTCTAAGTTCTGGCACTAACTAAGGTTATCTACACACCTTAGCACAGTGCACATTCACGAGCGCTAACATTGTCTTAATGAATGATACAGGTTGGAGTTGTCAGAGCTGGTAAGCCCGAATTCCGCGTCTTGTCAACTGAAGAGATCGACGAACACCTCACAGCCATCAGTGAGCGCGACTAGTTTCAACTCAAATTAAGACGAGGATGTTGACTATTTGACCAGAGTCTATACTGGAATTAAACATGGAATGCATTTCAAATGATTTCAGTTGATCTGTGGAGGTGGTTCATATTTTCGTTTGTTGGTCTTTGGAGCACTTGAAAACATCTGTACATTGTCTCACTACTTTGTACAGGTTAACACCCCTCTTCATCCTCACTTGCTTCTTTCGAGAGTTTTATTCTCACCATAAAGCTTGCAATTTCTTCTGACATGTTTTTCTTTGGGGCATTTTTGTGATTTAAGATGTAGTGATTCGGGCTTGGCTAGTTGGTCTCAGCCAGCACGTGTAAACCGGGCTAAGCTGAAAAACCTCGATGCATTACGAATTTCCACTTTTTTCTCCATTATCTAATGAGATGTTTGAGGTGAGGGTCGTCTCTGATGAGGAGCTGCTCAGCACCATCGATACCGATGCTATCTCCGAACTCCTTTGGAAGCCCCGTTTTGCTTTGTAGGTAGCTTACTTGGGGAATCACTCTTGTTTCTTTACGTTTAGCGTAAAATGTGAACTAAATCATGACCATAAATTGGTTGGAATATTTAAATATCCAAGCATGGCTTTTAAAATTGATTATAGATTTATAGCAGTTGGTTTGATGAAAGAATTGAAAAGTTTTGAAATTAGGGATTGAAGATGAACAAGTACACTTAGTTGTACTGTTGCCATAAATGCATCATGTTTCAATTTTTTTTTGTTGTGGTTTCAAATATAACCAAATATACAATGTAAGTGATTCTACATTTACGACTATGATATGCAGTCAGTACATTTATATATTGATATTAGTAGCAAGACATTACTGAGAAACAATCTAATGGACTAAGATTTAATAGTGTTCCATTTATTTATACACATTCATCTATTTAAAACATTTATTTAATAAACATTGTGGATGTGCATAAATAGTCGCTTAGTTTTCAATGTTTTATAAAATAGAATACATTTTGAAGCTTTTAAGATAGACTTCTTATAATCAAATGTAGCTTATAACACAGATAACAGAAACATAGAAAATACAAATGTTGATGATTAAACAATGATTTAAAAAGCCTATTACTTCACAAGAATAGACATCTATAGAATTTTCATGCTTAGAATAATAATTCATATAACATAAAAAAATGTATTCTATAAATCTTATATTATATCTATCATATCAACTATTTTACAAATTTGGAGTAAAGAAGATAATAGACTCTTATTGCAATTAAAGAGAACATTAATAAATGAATAACTTTCAAACCTCAACCAACATTAAGATTTGTACAATTTTTTGACTTTACTTACAACAAAGTATGAATGTAACATACATCAACACATAATGCTTTTACACATATTGATAAATTTATATAGTATTAATTTAATTAAATTTATTACTACTATTATTATTTATTATTTAGTTTAAAATAAATCTAGTAGATATTATAGAAGAAAAAAATGTTAAAAGAAATATAAGTACAATTTCTGAAAGCTATTATAATCTATTACACCTTAAAAATATACCATACAATATGATGCAATCAAACAATATATTTTTAAAAAGCCATTAACTTTTTACTCACTTAGAATTAGAAACTGCACTTTCAAGCAAAAAACAACAACATCAAACATTATATATATATATATATATATATATATATATAATTTCTTTTAAGGACAAAATGTAGACAATTGATTTTTGAAGATTAAATAATAGTATACTAGACATTAAAAAATTTAAGAACATTTAATCTAAGAAAGAATTTTTAAACTACAAACAAATACTATAAAGTATTACAAATATAATTTGGTGGAGTTAAAAGTACTAATTACATTTGAGATCCTTGCAGTTGCCCGCGAACATGGTGCGCAAGCGGTCAAAGGTAGAAGAGTAAAATTTGAGAGAGTAAATTCAAAATTATGCCATAACCCCACAAAATTTTGACTTCTAACTCCGGAAGCAGCTGCCGTCCTAGCTCAGTTGGTAGAGCGCAAGGCTCTTAACCTTGTGGTCCAGGGTTCGAGCCCCTGGGGTGGCGTGTCTCACACGTTGCTCTGCAGTCTGCTTGCAGAAATTACGCCAAGATTATAATGTACAGTGGGGTACAGAAATAATTCGAAGTTTTTTTCAAAGTGAATCAGTGTTAGAAATCACTGAACTTCAAAAAGCTCCAGCAGTGTCAAAAATGAACGCATTTTTGAGCAGTAAAATGCATTGCGAAGATAGTAGAATCTAGTTTCATGGTGTAACAAGTTTGCATTATAAAGTTGTGAAAATATACATCAAGAGAGCTTTTTGTTACATACTATCTACCATCTCGTACTACCACCCCTAGCTGCAATCACCGCTTGCATCCTATAAGGCATAGTGGAAATCAATGTACGAAGCCACTCTATAGATATGGTATCCCATACGGATTGAATTTTTTCTATCATTTCTAGCTTACTATTAGGTCTACTATGATGTTTGAGCAAATCTTTTACAACCATCCAAACGTTCTCTATTGGATTCAAGTCCGGTGAATTGGCAGGCCAAAACAACTTTTCTATACCATGAGCACGTCTCCATTGCAGTGGCAATGAGCTACGGTGGACTGGAGCGCCATCCTCCATCAATATCAATTGCTCAGGGTCATCATGTAAGAAATAAAAGCCACTTAATACTCCTTCATAAACAATAGGGACAAAATCCCTTGCTGATCTCTTATCTAAAGGAATGATGACCAATGGAGACTTATCAAAGCCAGTAAAGGCACCCCAAACCATCACTGAACTATGTCCAGACTTAAAACTTGGTGCTATACAATCCCAATTATATTTTTCGTACGCCTTCCGCCACACTCTAATTTGCTGTGGATTTTTGCCAGTTTCGAATGACGACTCATCCGTCCAAATAATATTACACCAATCTTCAAACGTCCAACTCTCATAAGCACGTGCAAATGCAAGCCTATCTGCTTTATGTTTGACATTCAAATAGGGCTTTTTAGGTGCTATACAATTTCTAAAACCAAGCTCACAGAGGTAGAATCGAACAGTAGTTCGGGAAACACTCACCAAGTTTGCAAGTTCTACCAGAGTATGCCTTCTATTTGAACTGACAGCATGACATAACACCCGAAAATCCCGCTCAGACAACTTCTTGGGTCTGCCACATTGTGATTTCAACGACTCCAGACTTCCATGGACCTTCCAATGACTCAAGATAGTTGAAATGGTGGAACAAGGAGCACTGAAGACTTCTGCAATGTCCTTATACTTCATCCCAGCCTTCCTCATCCCCACAATCTGATTCTTCTGCATAGGGGACAATGTTCTGTACTTCATGGTGCTTGCTGTAAGCCTTCAAATAGCACAAACCAACTTCTAGTTTGACGGAGAGGAGTCACTGAAGCTAACGATGTCCAAAACCAAAAAAGAACACTTCTAAAATCTGTATGTGCTTCACAATCTCAATCTGTGGCAGTGCAATGTGCTTCACATCTTCAGATGGATTATATAAGTCACCTCATCCAAGCATTCTATGCTATCACTCCATTTTGCTGGCTGCATGCATGCCTAATTGCAACTGTGATTTTTTAGCTCACCTAACCACTTCCACATTAATCATCACATTTGCAATCTGCTTTTGAAGACACATGGCTAATTACATGCAATTAGACACCTCTTGCACTCCAAAAATAGATGGCCAAGTGTCGGGGAAAAATTCCTTCCAACATGATCACAACATTCAATTGAACAACAAGATTTTTTTAGCAAAAGTGGTGCTCTAGAAAAAAATTCGAATTATTTCTGTACCCCACTGTACATTTCCATCGCTGCGCGATTCTCCGGAACCGGTCGGTGGTGCGACTTTTATTTCTGGAAGAACCTCGTGCGCGCCGCTTTGTGCAGACCGACCCTCTCTCCTACGCACTTTGCACAGCTCAGCTCACACCCAGATGTGTCTTTCGATCCAGGATCTCGATACTCCGATCAGGTGCAAGGACGGCACCGTTACGGACGTTGCACCCTGGAATGCCTGACTCAAATACGTCCCTCGATACGCAGCATCTCTCTGCCGCACGTGATGCATTTTGCTTGTCCGGCGAGAATGCAAGCTTGCGACAGCCTCAGGAGGGTGGTCTTCCTTTGGCACAAGTCGTGAACCTGGCTCAACGTGGGTGAGAGGGTTTCCACTTCATGACTATCCCCACCCTCTACATCCATTCATTCTTATTTTTCACATTTTGCCAACTAGACACCTTACAAGCTGTCTACACATGTGATTACTAAAAAAAATGCAAAAGGTCACAACTTCCAAAATTAGTCATTGGTTGAAATCAAGAGGTTTTACTTGGTTGACTATCTACTTACAAAAATCAGCTAAGAAAAATTCTAATCAATTCATTGGATATATATCTAATGTGTCTATAAAATAAAAATAAAAACTTGACACAAATATATTGTTTGATGCGCATGATCTCTTACATGCAATGTACTATGCATGTCCAACAAACATACAAGGTTGCAACATCAAGAGATCTGTCTTCTTGGCACAAGTAGTGAATCAAGTTGAACGTGGGTGAGATGGCTTCTACTTCAAATTTAGCTATACAGATTTATATAATTAATATCACAATTTAGCTATACATTCTAATTACAATATTCTTCCATTAATCAATATCATTTATTGTAGTTTTTTTATTTTATTTATTCAAGGTTGTTAATCATTAGTAGTCGCACATTAAAAGCACAATAGAAATCACCCTTCTCAGATCCCACAATCTAGAGTGGTTGCTTCCACCATAGCAACCATGTGGCTCTTTTGGCTATGTGGCCTTGCCTTGTTCAATCATCTATAATTATGTGGCCTTTTTGGCCACTTGACCTTTGTTACTAACCTCTATTAATTAAGAAAATATAATGTAAATTAATTAGTTATTAAAAATCAAAGGATTTTAATTATGATTAAAAAACAAAGTTATATTCCAAAAGTTTGACTAATTACTGGACATTACTAGTTTTTGGAGAATTAATTAATGAAAGGAATACTATATATATATATATATATATGTATATATTTGCTTATTAAACTTTTGGTTGGATTTTTATATAATTAAAACATTCAACTTTTGTAATTGGTTTAAATAAAAATCCTTATTTGGGTAGTTTTCTACTTAGGAAAATCAACAAATAAGCCCTTAAAAAAATAAAAAATAGAATGTGTTTTTTTTCCTACATGACATG